CTGTGGTGTTGGAGAAGACTCTTGAGAGTCCCTTGGACTGCAAGGAGATCCAACCAGTCCATCCTAAAGGAGATCAGTCCTGGGTGTTCATTGGAAGGACTGATGCTGAAGCTGAAACTCCAATGCTTTGGCCACCTGATGCAAAAAGCTGACTCATTTGAAAAGACCCTGATGCTGGGAAAGACTGAGGGCAGGAGGAGAAGGGGATGACAGAGGATGAGATGGTTGGATGGCATCACTGATTCAATGGGCATGAGTTTGGGTAATCTCCGGGAGTTGGTGATGGACAGGGAGGCCTGGTGTGCTGCAATCCATGGGATCGCAAAGAGTTGGACACAACTGAGTGACTGAACTGAATTTCAAGGGTCTTTTTTTTTTTAATAGTTTTATCTGTTGCTGTGCTGGGTCTTTTTTGCTGCACTTGGGCTCTCCCTAGCTGTGGAGAACAGAGGCTACTCTTCGTTTCAGCGAGTGGGCTTCTCTGTGGTGGCTTCTGTTGTTGCGGAGCACACGCTCTAGGTGTGTGGGCTTCAGCAGCTGCAGCTCCTGGGGTCTAGAGTGCAGGCTCAGTAGTGTGGTGCGTGGGTTTGGTTACCACGTGGCATGTGGGAATCTTCCCAGACCAGGGATTGAAACAGTATCTCCTCCATTGGCCGGTGGATTCTTGACCATTCTGAGCCACAAGGAAGCCGCGGGCTCTAGCTTTTGCACTGAACAAACCCTTACCTGTTTTTCCTCCTTCCTTCCTTTCCTCAGTTTTGACATGGCCAGGAATCTGAAAGAAAGGAAGTATCCTGGGTATTAATTTCCTGCTTCATATCCAAGTCACCCAGCGAGGAAGTAGGCCTCCATTTGTATGTGTGACCATCCTCCACCTCTGTCTCTGGGTTTTCTGGGTTTTGTTGGGTTTTTTGTTTTTTGTTTTGTTTCTTAAATAGTATTACCCTCCAAGTCCAGCAGTAGAAACTCTGCCAGCATTTCCATTATGAAGCTCATTTTTCAGGATCTTTTAACCAAACCATAAAACTTTATTCCTCCTATTAAACAGAATCCTAAAATGATCTTGGCTTACTGTCAAGTTTTTTTCTTTAATATGAGTATTAAGGAAAATAATCAATTAAAGGCAAAAAATCAATCATCTTATTTCTACTTTTTATCAGAGGACTGTCTTAGACCATTCTAGCCACAAAAGGCACCTCATATGAAGCTTGTCCCTATTCAGCACAGTGACTTGGATAGGAGCTAAAAGGACTTAAATCTGCATTTTAAGTATTTAAAATCAATAATAAAATGTCTTGTATTCACATAATCCTGGTTGGCTCATGGGTCTGTTTGTAAAATGGAGCAGTCAGTTACTATGCCTCTTCAGAATTCAGAGAGCAGTCAGTTGTGAGACATCTGTAAAGTATGTTATTTAACAGCCTTTTAAAATTACTTTTTAGCAGCTCCCTGTTAAACCTGACTCTTCCATTCTGCCAACAGTGGCAGTGATGTGCTGTCCCGCCCTAACGTGCCGGGAGTCTCACAGCAAGAACAAGTTGTAACGTTCACCCACAGTGTCAGTTATGGGCATTTCTCCGTCGTTTCTTCTTGACTGCACAGCCATTCATCCTGGCTGATTTAGACGGTGCCTGGGAATCTGGGGGAGTTTCTTTGGGCCTCAGTGTTGGGCTTGGAGGGTGGGAAAGCTGAGTGTATCCCCCTCCCCATACCCCCTGCCCACTTAAGCCAGTTTCATAGTTACCATTTTTGTATCTTAGACTTTGTGTAAGATTTCATTTATAAATATTTGGAAGACTGAGGGACTGGGCTGTGACTGGGCTGACTTATTTGGCCTGCAGAGTTTTTGAAAGCGCAGCTAGAACATGGCCGTCTTGGGCAGGGGACTCCCAGTCCACTGCCACTGCATGCTGGTGGCCCGCACCCTGAGTCTTGCTGCAGGCTAGCTGGCTGTGAGAGGCATGGAGCTTGCCCCTGGACGTGTCCGCGCTCGGGGAGATTGGTCAGGGAGATCCTCCATGCAGGACATCAGAGCCAATCCCAAGATTTCGTTTTAACCATTAGTTCTGTGTCTCATGCCTACATGAAGTTCTAAGTGAAGCTGCGGACATGTGGAAACATAGCGAAGTTCAGCCCCAATTTCCCTTGGCCTCGCTCCCAAGGAAGCGCTGCGCAGCGTGAGGGAGACGGCCACACAGGAGATTGGGGTTCCGTGCCAGGAGCTGCCAGGAGCCTCAGGAGTTAGGAGATCAGAGCAGGTTGCCGCTGGACACAGAGCTTGGCTCTCCCACGGGCCAGCCCTTCGTTTGTTGGGGAAGAGAAAGCCTTCCTCGATGCAGCTTCTGGGTGAAGGGCCTGGCCCCCGGGTCGCCTGCTCTGTCATGGGCTCCGCCCCTGTCTTCACCTGCCCCCACCACCCAGCCTCACTGATCTAAACCAGTGCTGATTAACCCCTCGGCTTCTTGCAGGAGACCAGTCAGGGGATGAAAACATTACTCAGATGCTCAAGCGAGCCCACGACTGCCGGAAGACAGCGGAGAACGCCGCCAAGGCCCTGCTCATGAAGTTGGATGGCAGCTGCGGGGGCGCCTTCGCGGTGGCCGGGTGCAGCGGGCAGCCCTGGGAGAGCCTGTCCTCCAACAGCCACACCAGGTAGCTCGCGCTCTGCCACACGGGCGGGCATCCACAGGGTCCACTCGCCAAGCTCCAAGGACCACGAGGCTTGGGGGTGGCAGCCTGGGCCCCGAGCCCCTGGCCCAGGGTCGGGATCAGAGCGGGAGAGCTGGAAAGCGCCTTCTCATGTTGCTGCCCAGAGGGAAGGGGTGGAACCTGACTATTCCTTTCTGTCCCGCTTTGTTCTGCCCTCCATTTCCTAACAGTCCTTGATTTTCAAGAAGCATTTGGGGTGCTGCAAATGGTCCCGAAGCACTCAAGCGCCAGACCGCCTCCTGGTTCCAGGCTGCGTTCTCTCCCTTCCTCCTGTGCCCATGTCCTTCGCAAGCCCTTCTGCGGCAGCAGGCTTCCCTTCTCCCACCTCTTTGCCCTGTAGAATGAGGCCATACCCATAGCATGTGTTTAGCAGATGCTCAGTCATGAACTGGGGTTCAAGTTCCGTGTCTGTGAATCTAGAAAACTGAAGTGGGTGCTTAAACAAGATGGGGAGGGAAACAGTGACCACCTGGCTAAGCATAATTTGCTGAAGCCATTGGATTCCACTGGGTGTGGGTGGAGAGTCATAGTGAAACATTTTCTAATACTCTTCTCATCTCGTCACCAAAATCCCTAAAGACATGAATGCCTTCCTTTTTTCTTTCATTTTTTTAAATTGAAATTGATTTACAATATTGTGTTAGTTTCTGGTATACAGCTAATGATTCATATATATGTGTATATATATATATTTCCTCATATTCTTTTCCATTTTAGTTTAATACATAATATTGACTATAGTTCTCTGTGCTATATAGTAGGACCTTGTTTGTTTATTTGATATATAGTGGTTTGTATCTGCTATCCCCAAACTCCTAATTTATCTCTCCCACTCCTCCCCCCCTTTGGTAGGCATAAGTTTGCTTTCTGTGTCTGTGAGTTTATTTCTGTTCCATAAATAAGTTCATTGGTATCGTGTTTTAGATTCTGCACTTAAGTGACATCATATGGTTTTCTCTTTCTCTGTCTTACTTCACTTAGTGTGATCATCTCTAGGTCCATCCATCTTGCTGGAAATAGAATGCCTTCCCTTTATGTTCCAGTTCTGTCTAGAAAGTACTTTAATGTTAGAGATTCTCATGTAATAACCAAATCACAAAAGATAGGAAGAGTAATGACCCCATTTTTACAAGGGAGAAAGCCTTGGCTCAGAGATGTGTGAGTGACCTGCCCACATGAAGTCACATAACTGACTGCTGAGAGGGGTGTTCAGACCTAAGCCCAGACTGCAGCACCAAGTGTGTTATTCTTTTCACTAGGCCAGGTTGGAGCTTGTGACTTAAAAAATGCTGTTTGCTCAGGTCAAGCAACCAACGGAGAGGGCAACGGCAGGCCACTCCAGACTCTTGCCTGGAAAATCTCATGGACGGAGGATCCTGGTGGGCTGCAGTCCATGGGGTCACGAAGGGTCGGACACGACTGAGAGACTTCACTTTCACTTTTCACTTTCATGCATTGGAGAAGGAAATGGCAACCCACTCCAGTGCTCTTGCCTGGAGAATCCCAGGGACAGGGGAGCCTGGTGGGCTGCCGTCTGCGGGGCCGCAGAGTTGGACATGACTGAAATGACTTAGCAGTAGCAGCAGCAGGCAATCAAAACCATGTAAGGGTGTATTCAGCCTCAAGGGCAAAAGGAGAAATACTGATGTTTTGTTCAGTACCTGAAAGGAACATAATGATCCCAGCTGTCTTTCCTGCTGGTAGGACCCAGCCATCTGCCCAAGTGCAGACTTACCTGTTCTGGACCTGGTGCCTCAGGAAAGGCGACATTCCCAGTAACACACTTGGCCAGGTGCCCACAGACATGAGGGACTTATTTCCTTTTGACTCCAGCAAAAGCTGTCTTATTCAGGGAAGCAAAGCACAGATGATCATTTATTTATTTTCTTAAAACCAGGTTATTTTGTTTAAACTCATAAAGCAGATGCTCTTCTTAATGACTTTTCCAGAGGTGTATAATCTGTAATTTCCACATTCATTTAGAATAGAAATGCAGTTCTCACGTTGTCAGTAAATCCTGTCCTGTTGAATTAGTGAGCATAAGAGTTGGGTTGACAGGAATTGTGTGCTATTTCAGTAGCTTATAAGCGGTTTTAGCTCACACCTCCCCACCTGCAAAATAATTATGTTGCTTTAGTCTAAGGGAACATTTCATGCAAAAATGGGCTCGATAAAGGACAGAAATGGTATGGACCTAACATAAGCAGAAGATATTAAGAAGAGGTGGCAAGAATACACAGAAGAACTATACAAAAAAGATCTTCATGACCCAGATAATCACAATGGTGTGATCACTCACCTAGAGCCAGACATCCTGGAATGTGAAGTCAAGTGGGCCTTAGAAAGCATCACTACGAACAAAGCTAGTGGATGTGATGGAATTCCAGTTGAGCTGTTTCAAATCCTGAAAGATGATTCTATGAAAGTGCTGCACTCAGTATGCCAGCAAATTTGGAAAACTCAGCAGTGGCCACAGGATTGAAAAAGGTCCGTTTTCATTCCAATCCCTAAGAAAGGCAATCCCAAAGAATGATCAAACTACTGCATAAATGCACTCATCTTACACACTAGTAAAGTAATGCTCAAAATTCTCCAAGCCAGACGTCAGCAATACGTGAACCGAGAACTTCCAGATGTTCAAGCTGGTTTTAGAAAAGGCAGAGGAACCAGAGATCAAATTGCCAACATCCGCTGGATCATCGAAAAAGCAAGAGAGTTCCAGAAAAACATCTATTTCTGCTTTATTGACTATGCCAAAGCCTTTGACTGTGTGGATCACAATAAACTGTGGAAAATTCTGAAAGAGATGGGAATACCAGACCACCTGACCTGCCTCTTGAGAAACCTGTATGCAGGTCAGGAAGCAACAGTTAGAACTGGACATGGAACAACAGACTGGTTCCAAATAGGAAAAGGAGTACGTCAAGGCTGTATATTGTCACCCTGCTTATTTAACTTATATGCAGAGTACATCATGAGAAACGCTGGGCTGGAAGAAGCACAAGCTGGAATCAAGATTGCCGGGAGAAATATCAATAACCTCAGATATGCAGATGACACCACCCTTATGGCAGAAAGTGAAGAAGAACTAAAGAGCCTCTTGATGAAAGTGAAAGAGGAGAGTGAAAAAGTTGGCTTAAAGCTCAACATTCAGAAAACTAAGATCATGGCATCTGGTCCCATCACTTCATGGGAAATAGATGGGGAAACAGTGGAAACAGTGTCAGACTTTATTTTTTTGGGCTCCAAAATCACTGCAGATGGTGATTGCAGCCATGAAATTAAAAGACGCTTACTCCTTGGAAGGAAAGTTATGACCAACCTAGACAGCATATTAAAAAGCAGAGACATTACTTTGCCAACAAAGGTCCGTCTAGTCAAGGCTATGGTTTTTCCAGTGGTCATGTATGGATGTGAGAGTTGGACTGTGAAGAAAGCTGAGCGCCGAAAAATTGATGCTTTTGAACTGTGGTGTTGGAGAAGACTCTTGAGAGTCCCTTGGACTGCAAGGAGATCCAACCAGTCCATCCTAAAGGAGATCAGTCCTGGGTGTTCATTGGAAGGACTGATGCTGAAGCTGAAATGCCAATACTTTGGCCACCTCATGCAAAGAGTTGACTCGTTGGAAAAGACCCTGATGCTGGGAGGGATTGGGGGCAGGAGGAGAAGGGGATGACAGAGGATGAGATGGTTGGATGGCATCACCGATTCAATGGGCATGAGTTTGAGTAAACTCTGGGAGTTTGTGATGGACAGGGAGGCCTGGCATGCTGCCATTCATGGGGTCGCAAAGAGTCGGACACGACTGAGCGACTGAACTGAACTGACTGAATCTAAGTCAGATTCAAATGTGGAGCCAGGCAGGAGTGGGAACATTTTCTCTCCAGCCCTTCAGTGGAGACTGTAATGGTGAATATTGGTTAGAAATATTTTAATGTATGGATGAGCCTTGATTTTGAGACAGTTGTCTTAGAGAAGCTTAATTTTAGGTAATGTATTTCTGTAGATTGAGATATACTCAGTACATAGTTTCTGTTTGCAAGGATGACCTCATTAAAGATTGGCCCTATGAACTAAATTCTGTCTTAAACAGATCTTCCCATCAAAGTACGGAGGGCTTACAGTGGTCAGATTCCACTCAATTCTCCTTAAAAATTCCCTTTCACATTCCCACCCAAATCAGAGCTGCTCAGAGGGAACAAAGGAACCACACACCCGGCATTCGTGTGGCGACACACATTCTTGGGACCTGACACAACCCGGCTGCTGATCATGTTCAGTGTGGCTCAGGAAAAAAGTCGCAAACCACCAGACGCTTTCATAATTATAAGTGATTTTGTTTGTAATTCTTGCCGTTCCACTCAGCCTTCCCAGCTTGTCAAGATTATGGCTGAAAGACAATATGGAAGGCTTTCCGAGGTGGAGCTGTATGTGGCTCCACCAGTCCCCTCCCCTCCCGCCATAGCCAGCTGGCAGAGAGACTTCTATGCAGAGTGCCAGCCAGTTGCTCCCCTAGGTCTCGGGAAAGGATGCTGGGTGCCAGGCTCCAGACTGGTAGTACAGGGCAGCTCCTGATAACTGAAAGGTCGTGGTTTTGGAACGGAGCAGCGGAGGGGCAGTTCCCAGGGAGCAAAATGAACATGGTAACCAGCCCAACAGCTGACTGTAGTCAGGAGCCCAGAGATGCTGCTCTCACAGTTTTGAAACACTTTTTTTTTCTTACAAAACTACAGCTGCGGCCTCATCAGCAAATATAATTGTCTTAACAGACAGAGTAACTAGGTAATGTGGGTTGCCTGGATAGCTTTATCAGTGTATCACAGCAGTGAGGCAAGTGGACTAAACTAATGAGAAGTGAGAATGGGAATTCTTAGTCAGACCCGCTCTTCTTGTCAAGCATTACAATTTCAGATCATTGATCTAAATGTACAATAGGACAAGGG